ACACACACACACACACACACACACACACACACACACACACACACACACACACACAATTTAATCTGACAAATTGCAATTTCTGTAATCTTGGTTCAGGAACATACAAGATCGTTGATCGTGCAGTAGCGCCTGTGACCTTTTGACAAGAAAAGGATACTGTATCCAAAGAGCGTGTTGCCAGAGTCCCAAACATACTGAGTTTATTAGCATGTTCTACCCTATTTGAGACCAAAGTTCTTTCAGATCGTTTTGAGGGTGCATATAGCACCATTCAGTGTCAGTCTTCAAAGGCCATGTCTCACCAGCGCACAGCTTTAGAAACCTCTAGCCCCACTTGGCCTTTCTTTGACTAACCAGCTGATGTAGGCGGGTTCATCGGAAATCCAGAGGCAGAGCTGCTGGTGCGTTGGTACCAGGCCGGAGCCTACCAGCCCTTCTTCCGTGGCCATGCCACCATGAAGACCAAGCGGCGGGAACCCTGGCTCTTCGGGGAGGAACACACCCAGCTGATCCGAGACGCCATCAGAGAGCGCTACGCCCTCCTGCCCTATTGGTATTCTCTGTTCTACCGTGCACACAAGACCGCTGAGCCCATCATGAGGTAAGAAAGCTTCATCCAACCAGGGGCCCAGCGACCAGTCTATAAGGGAAGGTCACCTCAGCTGCTGGGGAGCAGAGTGATCATGATGGTTTCAAGAGGAAAGCCTGCATTTAATCAAGTTTCAGTCAGTTTATTGAGCACCAGTTGTGAGCAGGGTGCTGGCTGTGGAGGACACAAGAGATAAATACTCGATCCTGCTACATTGTGTTTAAAGTGTTAATATTTGATAGGAAACAGAAATAGAGACATTTCAAAGAAAAAGGAAATGCCTCTGTAACAAAATTCATTCAGAATTTAACCCACAAGCATTTTCTCTGGAAGAATTACTTATTCTCCTGTTCTTGGGCTTTATCTTACCCTTCCAGCTAAACTGTTCCAAGTTTGAGGTGAACATTTTTCCTGGTGTGTAAATTATATTCTGATTCTGTTTTGAAGGCAGGATATGAAAAACCAGCTTTCTAGGTTAGAGAACAATATACACAGAGACGTACATGAGACACCGAGACTTCTGGATCAGTGTTCCTAAACCACTCAGATCAGAATCACCTGGGGAGCTTTTTAAAAATACAGATTCCAAGGCCATACCTCCAAACCTACTAAGACTTTCCTTGGGTGGGTCCCAGGGCTCTGTATTTGTTAGACTTTTCCCTGGCGATTCTAGACATAGGCCAGGTTTAGAGAGACCACTGCTTTGTGACACTCGATAGGAAAGGAGTGTCTCTGTGAGGCTAGTGAATAAACAATGTAAGTTTCTCTTACTGAAAAATATATGTTCCTAACGAAATTGAAAAAAACTATTAGAACCATTAACTTGCTATCCAGATGCATTGATAGTGAACATTTTGTTATTTTTATAAGCCCAAATACCTCCTAGATAGCAGTATACAAGAACAGCAGCAGTCAAAAAAAGAACACCCAGACGTTTCTCAACGTTCCACAATGTTGCCAGCTTGAAAAGCTAGTCCTTTTCATTTAAGCGAAGTAATGCTTCAAAGGCGAGAGAGCGTGAAAAAATGACACAGAATTACCATCATTGTAAAATACAGTTTTACAAACGTTTGTTTTATACCAAAGGGGTTAGGCCTTTGGACTTGTACAAAGCTCTGATTCTGCCTGTCTCAGTAGTATTTAGTGCTCAACAATCCGAAGTAAAAATTGCAGATGCCAGAATTCTTAATCCTTCACTGGGACATTTGCACTAATAGCTTTCACCTAAGAAAAATATATAGCAATTGCTCATAAAATCTTGACTCATATAAAAAAGTCTTAGCTCTTCCCAATTTTCTTTGAAGAGTTATAAAACTAAAAATATAAGTGATTGAATTATAATAGAACATCTAATGATCCTAAATAAGATTTTTTCTTCACTTTCCCCAGGCCTCTGTGGGTAGAATTCCCTAATGAGTTAGAGACTTTTGGTATAGAAGATGAATACATGCTGGGTGAGCATTTCTTGATTAATTATACTGATGATAAGTACTATTGTTGTGTTTTTGTTATTATGTGTTTCTGGTGTAAGAGCACTAAAAAAATTTCAAATCCCAAGAAAGCCAAAAAATAAATTTCTTCTCCAAGATTTTTAGTACCTGTATGCATTAGAGGGATCATGGTACAGTTCTGCTGTCATGTGGCACTTCTCATACTATTCTATTTGTTAACTTCAGATAAATCTGTTCTATTTGTGGATGCAGTTTAGGATTCTTGTTGAGTTGGCTCCTAAGCCTGGTGAGAGAGACCACCGCAGGGAAGGGGAGCAGAAGAGAAGTGGGTCCAGTGGATCTAGTGAAGACCCAGAAGAGCTCATTTCATATGCAGTGATAGGACTTTTCTTTGGCTGACCTCTTCTTTAACAAGGGTGTCTTAGTCATCTAGTGCTGCTATAACAGAAATACCACAAGTGGGTAGCTTTAACGAACAGAAATTTATTTTCTCACAGTTTAGGAAGCTAGAAGTCCGAATTCAGGGCACCAGCTATAGGGGAAGGCTTTCTCTCTCTGTAGGTTCTGGGGGACCATCCTTGTCTCTGTTCAGCTTCTGTTCCTCAGGGATCTTCATATGGCTTGGCATCTGTCTTCTCCCAACTGTGCTTTTCTGCTGCTTGCTGAATCTCTCTTTACTATCTCAAAAGAGATTGATTTAAGACACACCCTACACTAATACCATCTCATCAACATAACAAGGAAAACCCATTCCCAAATGGGATGATAACCACAGGTATAGGGGCTAGGATTTACAGCACATATTTTGGGGTGACACAATTCAATCCACCTTGGGAACAGGGCTCAAGCAACCAGGCTCAATAGAGAGTTTCCCAAAAGATGAATCCCATTTCTAAACAGTGGAAACCCCAAAATGTAAAAAAACCTAGCTCTTTAAGTCTCTGCCCATCCTTTTGGTCTCAGTTTAATAGACACTTCCTTGGAGAAACCTTCTCTGACCATTCCTTGTTTCGTTATATCTAATTCCACTCAGTCAAGTCAGAGTCAGTTCCTCTTATTACTGACCCTCATTCCATCTTGTACTTACTGTTGCCTTCTTGCTATTTGTCACAACTCTAATTCATCTTTACTTGTTCAATATCTGTCTTCACTGACTGTAAACTCCAAGAGGGCAGGGACCATGTCTGTCTAATTTGCCTAGCACAGGGCCTGACACTCAGTAGGCACTCAATAAATATTTGTTGAATAAAAGAGTGAATTCGTAAGTGGATGAATTTTACACCCATATGGTGCCAAAGTCAAAACAAAATTAATAATCCAGTTTCCCTTTAAGAGTCCTGCAGCCTTCCTGATGATAACTGTCAAGCAAGAGGATCTGAGCATCCACACTGACCCACTTCTAGATAACAGCTGTGGGCACGCCATCATCACATGAAAGTCACTCACAGCAAACAGTGAAGAGAGGTGCAATGACACACACACTAGCAGTCATACACAAAATGGGACTGTGGTAGCCTGTCAGGATCCCTCCCTACAATCCTAACATACCTAAGTGGATTATTGCTAGGTGATAATGATACACCCGTTCTCTTTCTAACAGTGCCTCTCTCTGATGAATCATTGGCTTAACTCACCACAGTCTCAACCTTCAAGAAGTTCACAGTTGAGCAGTCTTTAAAACCACAAGAGCTCTCAATGAAAGGGAAATGATGTCTTCGGGCCTCTTAGTGTGGTACTCAACTCCTTTCTTCTCCATTTTTTAGGAAGTGCTTTATTGGTTCATCCAGTTACAGAACCAAAAGCTGCTGTGGTTGATGTGTTTCTGCCAGGATCAGATGAGGTAAGAGTAAGTGACAAACAGACACATGTCTTGTGTCTCTCTTTCATACCTTCATTCTAGTCCCTTTTAGGAAGAACATTCCTTCATTATGCAGTTATAAACCCAGCCCAAATGACCGTAGCAAGTGAAAATTTCTTGTAAGTCATGATCACTGTCCTCAGCGGTCAAGAAACTTAATGTGCAGAGGAGGGGGAAGAGAAAGATGAATAGATGATGAATTCAAGGAGGATCAAGGTGGTTCTTTATCTTTAGACTTTGCCTCGTGTAAGTGGCTCCATATAAACATATTGAGGCTTTGAGGAGGAGGAAATTTTCAATCTACCTTGAGGTACGAAATTCTGGGAGGAAACATAAGCATGAAGAGACTCTGCTCTTTTGTTCCTGCTCTCTCTGAATCCAGAGTGTTGTTAGTACCAACAGCTGGTCTCCAGACACTCATCCAGGTGGTTAAAAAGTACCAACAGTGACTTCCCTCTAGGCCCCTCCAGCCAGCCTCTGCTCTTTTGTTAGTTATTGTCATTGATCTTCATCACCACATAAAATATCATCCTGGACCTGCTGGAGGCCAGGGTGCTAAACCCAGCCAGGTTAACAGGGGACAGGGAGTACTATCCTGTCATGGATTGAATTGTGTCCCCCAAAAAACGTATGTCTACTTGACTAGTCGGTGATTCCCAGTATGGTGTGGTTGTCCACCCATTTTGTCATCTGATGTGATTTTCCTAAGTGTTGTAAATCCTTTCTCTATGATGTTAATGAGACAGAATTAGCAAGTTATGTTAATGAGGCCGGACTCAGTCTGTAAGTTTAGGTTGTGTTTTAAGTCAATCTCTTGAGATATAAAAGAGAAAAGCAAGCAAGGAGACATGGGGATCCCCTACCACCAAGTATGCAGAACCAGGAGGGAGTGTGTCCTTTGGACCTGAGGTCCCTGCGCTGAGAAGCTGCTAGGACAGGGGAAGATTGATGACAGGGACTTTCCCCAAGAGCTGACAGAGATAGAAAGCCTTCCCCTGGAGCTGGCACCATGAATTTGGACTTCTGTCCTCCTAGACTATGAGAGAATAAACTTCTGTTTGTTAAAGCCTTTCACTTGTGGTATTTCTGTTATAGCAGCACTAGATGACTAAGACGTAACCCATAGGCTGCAGGGGAGAGAGCCATGGGTAATATGAGCTACAGCCTCCAGAGACGGACCACCCACGCATCTAAAGGGGTCAAGAGAAGAGACAGGGCAGAAACTCGGGGCGCCAGACCAGGGCAGGGATGGAATGGAGGGCCAGAAGGAGACGGACCCTGGAGAGAGTCCCTGAGCACTGAGCTTCGGCACAGGCTTTACAGGCAGGGGAGGAGCTGTGAAAGATACTGAGCTGATGTGCCATGTCAAGATATCCTGGACTGTCACGGCAAGTGGCGAGGTAGCTACGCCAGGCTACTCACTGCTCAGAATCATCAAGCACTGAATGGGAGCACACAGGAACCGTGTCAGTCCTCCCGAGACCCTGCTTCACGTGTTTGGGATTGAATTCGGGGTTTCCTGAGGCTGCTGTAACAAATTAGCACAAACCCGGAAGCTTAAAAGAACAAATGTGTCTTCTCCCACAGTTCTGGAGCTCCACGTCCAGAATCAATGCTGGGTTAGCAAGGTTGGTCTCTTCTGGAGGCCCTGAGGGAGAATCTGTTCCTGACCTGTCTAACTTCTGGTGGTTGCTGGCAAATCCTTGACATTTCTTGGCTGGTTGCTGTGTCACTCCAGTCTCTGCCTCTGTCTCCACAGGGTCTTCTTCCCTGTGTGTCTGTCTCTGTCTCTCTCATAAGGACACTTGTGCTGCCAGTTAGGGCCCAGCTGGATAATCCTGGATAATCTGCTTATCTCAAGATCTTTAATTTATTCACATCTGTTACCATTTAAAGTAATATTCACTTATTCAGGGGTATCAGGAAGTGAATCTGTCTTTCAGGGGCCGCCATATTGATATGACAATAACCAGGCTTTTCTCCATAATGTTACTGAATTTTGTTCTTTCTTCTTGGTTTCTCTAGTAATTTGCAGTTCTGAAGTGGAAGGCTCTTTATAAAGGTTTCCCTCTCCAGTAGAAATGTGAGAAAAAGCTTGAATACCACAGCCACTAAATGAATTGTCTTGCTTAGCATTTGTGCTGAAAGTATCTCAATTGATTCCAGCAAAGGTTGTGTGAAAACAGCAGGCTCCCATTAAGAACTAAGTTGGCTCCCTCTCCTACGGAGCCGATAGTTTTTACTAACAACCTGCCATCATTGCAAGTGCATTGTTGTGACTATGTCCTATGTTCCTTCAACACTATTTCCAGAGTGCTCTGTGATTGTTTCTCTTGCTACAACTTCACAAACCCTGGATAAAGGGGCCAAGCTATTGCTTGCCAGACCTGCCCCTTTACCTCGGTTGACTAGCTGGTCCCGCGTCACACCATGCAGGGGGGCTATCAGAAGTGGCTAATTCAGTCCCTCACTGTATGGCCCACTCCCTGACCTCCTTCAGGTCTTTGCTTGACTCTCTCCTCAGTGAAGCCTTCTCTTACCACCTATTTAAAATTACAAGTGACTCCTACTGTCCCGTAGTACTATCCAGCCCTCCTGCTGCCTCGATTTTTCTCCTCAGAACTTGCCACTTTCTGGCATTCTACGTATTTACTTACTCGTTTTGTTGATTATCTGTCTCTCCCAGTAGAATGTTAGCTCCTTGAGGGCAGTGATTTTCATTTGCTGTGTTCCCTCTGTATGCTCAGTACCTGGATGGGCCCCTGGCACATAGCAGGCCCTCGGTAAGCACTTGCTCATGAGGAGCTTGGTGGTCATCTCTGGTCTGACCTCTGTGGTGTTTTGCACCAGTTATACCCCTCCTGGTTTGGAGATCTTTGTATATGGCACCAGAACATATATCCTACCCCTGTTGTTTTAATTAGTCCTGGAAATGGTGGACAGGTAATCCCCAGACCTTATTTCAACCAGTTTTTTACCTTTCACTGCCACCAGCTTTTTATCTAAAACTACTAGAATTGGCCACAGAGAGAGGGAGAGAGCAAGAGAGAGAGATACCAGAGAAGGACTTTGTGGGGAGGGACCTAAGACAACATCCTTCATGAACATAGACACATAAATCCTTGACAAAATACAAAATATTAGCAAGTTGAATCCAGCCAAAGCTAGTACATCATGACCAGAGCAGAAGTGGTCCTGTTAAGAGTTTGCTGTAGCTGGCAACAGTCAAGTCACCCCTCATCACATTCACAGCAGGACAATGACAGACTCACCAGCCCTACTCTGTAAAGGATGTGGGAATCCCAGGAGGTGAACTTTCAGAATGGGCTCTGTGGCTGCCAGAAATTACACTGGGCTAGAAGAGAGCAAAAGAGGCTTTTGTTTTCCTGCTGCTTCCTGCTGGTATTGTAAGGATTTATCCCATCAGATTACTTTGTGGGACCCTTTTGATACTTTGGCAACTAAACCTTCTTGACAGGGATCCCAGATAAGAGTTTGAGCCTTATCCCTGAATCCTACTCTGAAAAAAAATTGATACTACAAGAGTAACCCGAGTTTTCATTTGCCTTTCTCCCGGGAGATCTGTTTCCTTTTCTCCTGTCTCATTTGTAATTTATTTGCTTGCAATATGCTTTTATTCTTTCTTGTTTTTTTTTCTCAAATTTTCCGTCATCTCTTCTACTGCTAGAAGCATTAAATTTTTATAAGCCGTCTGCTGTGAGGGCAGGAACTATGTCTTTTACTCTTGTATAAGCAGTACTAAGTATGGTGCCTGGCACATAGTAGGTTGTTCGCTAAATAATTTTTGGATGGATAAGTGGATGGACAAATGAATGGTCTGTTAGTCAAATTAATAAGTCACAGTACTTAGTTGGTCCTTTGGGATCTTGGCATATATTCTTCCTGACTTCTCTCCAAGATATATAATACTTACTTTAGCTTTTTGGTTATTAGAAATCCAGATAAGTGGATGTTTTACTGCATAATGAAATTGGAAGCAGAGTTGCTCATGTATTCTTTTTCATTGGGATCTGTTCAATTTTAGGTCTGGTATGACTCTAAGACATTTGCTCATTGGGAAGGAGCATGCACTGTGAAGATCCCAGTAGCCTTGGACACTGTAAGTTGTTCTAACCTATTGTGCCTATGTAGAAAGAACCAAGAAGTTAGTGTTCTGCATAATAACACATATATGTAGATACAGAGGATAGATTAGTGGGTGCCTAGGGCTGGGGCAGAGGGAGGGCTTGTGGGGAATGAGGAATGACTCCTAATGGGTACAGGGTTTCTTTTAGGGGTGATGAAAATATTTTAAAATTGATTGTGGTAATAGCTACATAAGTGTAAATATACTGAAGGCCATTTAATTAGACACTTAAAACGGGTGAATTGCATGGCATGAGAATGGTATCACTGTTTAAAAATGTGAAAAAATGATAACATATTCCCAGATTTCACAGTATGAAGCATCAGGGACACACAGAGCTCTTCCCCATACGTTACATTTGTAAGTCTAAGAAAAATAATAGCACTGAAAACAAAGAGAAAACATGGGGGTCACCACGCACGCCATACAGAATGTCCTACTGAAGGACAATGTCAAAAACCATGAGTTTTCAGTTGCAACCCTGGGCCTCTAGGCCCGAGAGAATGTTATCAGTTATGATGTTAGAATCAAAGTCGGCCATCCAGACTGACCAAGTTTCTAAAGAGAACTTTCCTCCTGCAGCACAGTCTCAGCCACAGCCCTCAACAGTGGGAAGATAAATAAATAGATGGTGATGTTATTTTTTAAAATCAGCAGCAGCAATCTGAAACCCATTGTAAAGAAAACGATTTCAGTTATCAACTTCAAGATCTAGAAGAGACTTGAACAGTCATCTGCTCCAGTCCTCCATACTTACAGGTGAAGAAACTGAGGTTCAGAAAAATTCAACTACTTGTCACCACTAGATTGTGACAGAACTGAGACAAGGCCCAGGTCTACTGGACTCGCACTCCAGAGCCCGTTCCACTCTAATTTGTGGCCTCAGTCTTTGAAAACACAAAAAGGAAGAAGAAGAAAAAGAGAGAAAGGTTAGCCAGAGTGAGAGGGAAGTGGGGAAAAGATGTGCTTTACTGATCACTGCCAGCTGTGAGTCATGTAGAGAGGTGGATGTCTCAGCTGTTCAACCTTCACTCCCAACTTCAGGTATGTCCTGGTACTCAACTCCCTGCCTGTACTGCCCAAGTACAAGCCCTACTGTGATGCAGGCAGATTCCATAGAGGGTATTGTCTGAGAGACAAAAAACCTACAGGGCGTTCTCTGCCAGGAATGCCATTCCACAAGACCCATAGGTATGGGCCGTGCCTAAAAAATCAAACGAAAAACGGTTGGCATTAAGTTGGTTCTGACTCATGGCAACCCCGTGTGTTACAGAGTAGAATGCTCCATAGTGTTTTCTTGGCTGTAATCTTTACAGAAGCAGATTGCCAGGCCTTTCTTCCACAGCACCACTGGGTAGGTTTGAACTGCCATCCTTTAGGTGACTGGTCAAGTGCAAACTGTACCACCCAGGGATCTTATGGGCTGTGCCTGCGGCCTTGTTATTAGAGTCACTTAAAGTACTTTGGTGGCTTCTATGACAGAAGCAGATTCACATATTTACCCTCAGAGTTGAGACAATCATTCTGGTGATCCAGAGAAGCAAGGAAGAAAGAAGGTCATGGGCTGCAGTGAGTAAGGACAAAAGTCATCTCCCCAAACCAAGAAACCACCATCTTTTATAAATACACACACACATACACACATCTGGACCCACTTACACAGACGGAAAAATTCACTCTTCAGCAAAGCCCTAGAAATAATCATGTTTATTAAATTGATGAGAAAATTACAAAAGCCCAAATAGGAAAGGCCACTTACAGGATGGGCAGAATAGAGTTCATCACCTAAAAGAAAACACCATCAAGACAGAGTGTGTTGATTTCCTATGGCTGCCGTGACAAACCACCACCACCCGGGGTGTAAAACAACAGAAGTTTGTTCTCACAGTTCTGGAGGCTAAACGTCCAAAGCCCGCGGCAATGTGCTCCCTCTGGGAACCCGAGAGGAGACTTGTTCCTTGTCTCTCCCAGCGTCTGGTGGCTCTAGGCATCCTTGGCTTGTGCTGCGGAACTCCTGTCTCTGTCTGCATATGGCCTCACCCCCTGTGTCAGTCTTCTCTTTTGTCTCTGATAAGGACACTTGTCATTCGATTTAGGGCCCCCTGGAGTAATTGGGGCCCTGGCAGCACAGTAGTTAAGAGCTTGGCTGCTAACCGAAAGGTCGGCAGTTCGAATCCACCAGCCGCTCCTTAGAAACCCTATGGGACAGTTCTACTGTGTCCTATAGGGTCGCTATGAGTTGGAATCGACTTGATGGCAACGGGTTTGGTTTTTTGATTTGGAGTAATGCAAGACAATCTTATTTCGAGATCCTTAATTACATCTGCAAAAACCCTTTTTCCAAATAAGGTCACATTCACAGATTCCAGGGGTTAGGCTATGGAGGACTACCGTTCAACCTACTATGTAAGTATAGAGAATAAATCGATGAAAAGTGGGATGTTTCCCTAATAATTAAAAAGTGGAGCCATTTTTTAGTGTTTGAAGTCTTTTTCTTTTCATGCCAAGGTTGTCATATTGGGAAATGCTGTCTCTGTGCCCAGAAATTTATTTTGACCGCGAGTCTGTACTCGTAAAGCTATGAGTGCAAATCTTGTGCTAGTAAATGTGTTTACATTCTGCTTTGAAATCTCCTTGTGGGTACTCCTTCCCTGAAGTGTCGTTCTGTTGTAGATACCAGTGTTTCAGCGAGGTGGAAGCGTGGTAGCAGTAAAGACCACAGTAGGAAAATCCACAGGCTGGATGACTGAGTCCCCCTATGGACTCCGGGTGGCTCTAAGCTCTCAGGTATTTGGAAAATCTGTTACCTTTACACATCTCAGTTATTATTCCGCTGTCTCCTTATAGTGGAGCCTTCTGCATGTGTGACAGCCGGTAAAAGTGGTGATCCCCAGGTGTGAGATAGGTTCTTCAGATGCTTATCTAGTTCTGGATCATTGTCTAGCTTGCCTGACAATGGGTTGTTCTTAAGGGAACTTTGAGATCTGGGAATGACAAAAATGTCCTTCTGGGGCTCTGTGACCCTTGGTGTTCTGTAGCTTGGCACCGATTACTACAGGACTGAAAGCTTGTTGCTCCAGAGGCAGCCTGCCCACCCTCTATCAGTGGATTAGCCCTGAAATCAGTCTCCTGTAAAAGGGTGCCTGTGCCTCCACCACATTTCAGGGCCACCATAGCCACGCAGTGACTTCTGTTCTCATTAGGTGACTCCAACAACTGAGATTTCTCTGGGTGAGGCCTGGCAGGACCCATAACTGACCTGTCCTTTGAGAAGATCTTTTGAGCCCAGCGAAGCCTACAGCTGACTCCTGTCCTAGTCCTTAGCTATTTGCCCAAATACAGTAGAGGGCCAATACACACACAGATTCTTATTCTTATGCAAATATTATAAAACACTCAGGTGAGCTGCAGCTTTCTTTTCCGTCTGTTTTACACTAGGCCTGTCTTCTTGGGTCAAACCACGGGCCTTAGACTCATAGGAGACCACAGAATGAATACAAGAGACGGGAGCGCGACAGCACATCCAGCATTGTCAATAAAAGTAAACTGCCCTACTGAGGCTGTGACTTTTTTGATCTGTAAGAGTTTTCCTACTAAAGAAAGGAGGAACCAGACACCATTGTCTAATGGAAGGTCTTCTAGATACAGTTGATTTCATTCATTATATACTGATTTTTTTTTTTTTTTTCAAATTCAGTTTCTTGACCTCGTAGTCACATTCTGGGATAGTATTTTTAGAGATGCCACCTCTGCCACTAACCACACTTCACAGTTTAAATTTCTTTCAACAAGGCCTTCCTCTTTGTGGTCCTCCTGTGTCAACTCCCTATTCATATTGTATCACTGTCTTGTCACAAGAGATTGAGTATTCAGTGTAAGTATTTGTATGGCTACTTTGTACAGCTTGAACATTAAGCTTTTGTTCAACGTAATTTTTCACAAATGTTTTTATTCTGTTGTTTCCTGGAAAGCTAATATATAAGCACATTCTCTACCTGTGATTCACTCTCCAGGGTTCTGCAGTCAGTGAGTTGTATCTTGACGATGGACATTCCTTCCAGTACTGCCACCAGAATCAGTTCTTGAACAGGAAGTTTTTGTTCTGTTCAGGTGTTTTGATCAACAGGTAATGGCAGCTAAAGAAGCCGTGTGTTGGCTTAAAACACATTATGCTATCCATTTTGCATCTTCAAATGCACAGCTGATGTTTTAGGGTACCATTTAAAGAAAGGAATGGTGAAGGCTACTTACGGGGCATTTTTCAATCAGTCCACCATGAATGTCTCTTCTTTATTATCTCCATCTTCCTTTCTCCTTCTCTCTGTAAAAAATAAAAAAGGACTCAATTTAAGCTTCCATTAATTCCATCCATTCAGCAAGTCATAAAGTACTCAACTTTTTACAATTTGATTGCAGTGCTCCAGTCACGTTTGTTCTTCGGTGATTTCGCTCCAAATAGCTTGTTAAAGGAAGATTGGTTTGGCCACTGGTCAGCTAGTCCTTGGCACGCAGAGTCATCTTTTCATCCCAGTAAATACGATACCTGTATAGTTCATGCCTCCAGAGGGACAGATGGGAGGGGAACTCACAAGGCCGGCCATGTGACATGGTGACCAGTCCAAACCCCCATTCTTCTTCTCCTAATACTTGTGTATCTATTCCAGTTGTGCGGATGAGAGGGGTCGTTATCCCAGCAAGTGTGTGGTGGAGCAGATCTTGGTCCTAGGCCTCAGGAAGCAGCCATCTTCCGTGACCACCCACTCATCTGGTGAGGAATCAAGCCATTCTTATCTCATCATTTGTTCTTGTAAACATAGACACATCTCCAGGGAAGAGATGATTAGTCCCAAAGCTGACGCGATGTGCCTTCCTCAGGCCCAGCTGACGCGAGCTTTCTGGTGGAGTCAGGCATACTAGTCTCGAGTGAGTGAGGCCGTCCTGCTTCTCTTCATGAGCTGGTCGTTCTGTTCATTTTAAGCCATAAATAATGTTCTAAGTGCAATTATTGGGGCTTGAAATAATATTTTAGCTTTTCTGATTTTTTTTTTCTGGACTATAGGTATATGAAGCCCTAGAGAATCTTATCTGTGCCTTTGGAGTTTGTTAAAGGACATAGGATGGGATTTATATCCTTTCTTACCTTCTGAATTTCTGGGACAGATCACTTTGTTCTTTACAGGCTTTTTTTTCCAACCACTCTTGCACTCAAAATAATGAGGTGTTCCGTGTTTAAAAAATTATTGGAAATCCGTGCGTAAAAGTGCTGTTAATTTGGATTCTCCTAAGTGGGATATAGGGCTCTATGATGGGATCAGAAAACATGTCAGATTCAAAGAAAAGATTTTTCCTTCCTAGATCTTCAGCAGACTTTCCCTTTTTTATCGTCTTGATATTTAGATGGGAAGGATCAGCTTGTGGCTTTTACATATAGTGCCACGACGTCCACGCTGAGCCTGGAGAAGCTGTCACTGGACATCGGTGCCGACTGGGAGGTCCGCATCAAATGACGAGGCCGTGCCTGGTGATGAGCGCAGGGAGCAGCCTGCCCTTTCAGGTCTCCCCGCCTGGCCTTTCTTGATTCCTGCTGCACTCTATTGACTTCCCTGGCTCAAAACAATCCTTCCTTAGTCACAGTGTGGTGCACTAATGAACAAGAGATTTCATAGTCTTCACATTTGACATTTTTAGATGCATTAGTAATACTCTTTGTGTCAAACACCGCCTCTCCTGGACACAGGGAGCGCTGAGTCATTTATGGAGCTCACGAATCTTCCATTGCCTCCTGGGCCGTGGACCTGTGGCAAGCACTGTGCCCAGCGAGCAAGGGGTTTGTTTCATGTGGGATGTGGGCCAAGCCCACCTGGTGTGGCCCATGTAACAGACTTGCCCCAGGCTGCACGGCAGAGTCCATCTGGCTGCAGCAGCTGAGTGGCTCCAGGCCTGTCTCCAAGCAGACAGCAGCTCTCCAGGACCCCCTATCCCATTATGTTTCACCTCACAGGCAAGCCGCTCTTTCCTGGGTGCACCATGCGTGCAGCAGCACAAGCTGTCGTTCTCCCCTAGAGCTTACCTTAGGAGCACAGAGCACCCTTCTCTTCCTGCTTTCCAGGCTCGAAATTCTTAATTAATCTTCTTAAACTTCTAATTTCTTTGTCTTCATTGTTTTTATTAAATACTATCTTCTAGCCAAAGAACATTTGTAACACGAGAACGTGAACAAGCTATAATAAATAATAAAATAGATTCCCTGTCCTTACCACCAAACTTCAGAGTTGGAATACAAAGCAGGGACTAGGGTGACAGAGAGAGGCACTTGCCTTGTGAACAAAATTTAAGGGGGCACCCAAAAATGCAATAATCAAAATAAATTATGTCCAAATGCAATATTTTTAAAAATCAAAACTAGTGCAAAAAATCCATGGTGAACAAAATATCAAAGTTTTAAATAAAGACAGAATCGGTATTACTGGTTTTTCCTTTTGCCTCAGGCTGCAGTGGGGCTGGGCGCGGGGTAGAACATTAACCGCATACCAGCTTCAGCATGTGGCTCCCTGCGGCCCACCGCAGCATCTGTTGGGGCAGCCCCATCTCCTCAGCACAGCTCCACATGCACCTGTTCTTATCAGGCTTCCACCTCTTAGCACCTGGCCAGATGCCACTTCCACGCCTGCAGTTCCTTCTGCCTGCGCAGATCTCACCAGCCTTCCAGACCCAGCTCAAATCCCACTTTTCCATGAAGCCTTCCTAATCATCCTAACACCCCCTCGCCCCCATCGCCTGTGATATCGCCCATCTCTGAAATCTTGCCCCACTTATAATGTGTGCTGTGGTGCTTAGCATTGTCGGGGATGTTCCTTTAATGTTTCAAGTATGTTTGTCTTGTTTCCAGGCTAGATTACGTGCTCCGTAAGAGCGTATCATATTTCTCTTGTATCTGCCAGAGCACCAGTATTTGGCTTTCAGTATTATTCTCTGTGTGTAGTTAACTGATGGATCTGATTGTTTAAAAAGTAAAACTCGAATGGATTGTTTCTGATTTGCTTTTTTGACATAGGACTCTTCCTTCCAACCACAGTAAACATTGTGCATTTCCTCACGGACATATTTCATTGTATCAGTTGAGATTTGAGCTTTGCAGCAAACATAAGCTCATGTAGACACATAGGGATTTTTTGCTTCTATTTCTATAAATTTTGCAATTAATGAGAAAGGAATCTGTCAACATTAGCTGAAGTCTTATCTCCCAGATTCAAATTTCCCTTGCCAATCTAAAATATGACTTAACCTGAAAACTGACTACCCTTATCTAATATAAATGATGGTTTTTAATAGCATGTAAAGCCAAATAAAGGCCTGTGGTTCAGATCAACATTTATTGCATGTCTATCCTTCTGTTTAAAATATTTTTGGGAAGAAACAGGAACTAATAGAGTAAATTTGTGAGGCACTGCTCTGTGTTGACCCGGGTCTGCCCCAGAGTGTTTGACTGGAGACGCTGAGTGGGAAGTAGAGTCTGAGCGTTTCAAATTGTTCTCTGTTCTTACTGCGTCTCACACTTCACCCCTCTTCTGTCTCGGAAGCTGTACCAGAGCGTTGTGTGGGGCTGGTGTGCCCTACAGCTGCTCAGTCATCTTGCTGCAGCTAATTCTTGATATATTTTCTCAGGGAACTGGGTTTTATGTAAGAATATAGAAAGAATCATTTTAACACGGATTCAAATAAAGTTCTAACGTGAATGCAATAATGACCCAGCAATTCTACTTCAAGACTAAGATGCCAAGGAATGAGCTGACAGATCACTTTAAAAACAGAAAATGCCCAACAAGAAAATGGGCCAAGGCAATCCACAGAAGAAATTGAAACAGGCAAAATAAGCACATGAAAAAAAGCTCAGCCTCATTGATAATCAAAGAAATGATTTTTTTTTTTTTTTTTTTTTTACCTGATTGACCAAGATTGAAAGTAGTGAAAATGCCCAGTGCTGATGTTGGTTTGGGGAAGTACGCACTCTTGCGCATTGCTGGTGGAATTCTAAGTAAGTATCGTGTTTTGGAATGTCGGTTTGGCAATAGTATCAAAAATTTTGATTTGCGTACTCTGACCCAGCAATTCTACTTCAGATAAACCAGATAAATGCTCAGAGCTGCTAACTGCTATGTGGTTTATACTGTGGGAAATTGGAAATAAGCTAAATGTCCTTTACCAGGGGATTCGTTAAATATAGTACTTTCAAGCAGTGGAATATTATGTAACAATTAAAATAATAATCTGTATATATCAACATAGAAATATGTTCTTGATAAAATGTTTATTGAGTGATTTTATTTAGGTAGAAATTACAAGAAAACAAATCCAGCTTGAGGGACATCCCATGCTCTTCAAAACACGAAGGTCAGAAAAACCAGCCTGAGGAACTGTTCCGGGCTGACAGAGACTAAAGAGCTATGACAACAAATGTGGGATTCTGGGTTGGATTCTGGACCTGTAAAGCACCTTAAAGGGACAGTTAGCAAAATTTGGATGTGATCTTCTGGTTTCATGGTATTTCCCTAATTTTGAGAGTTGTCCCGTGTTTATATAGAAGAATTTGTTTTTAAGAAATACTGAAGTGTTAAGGGTAATGGGCCATCATATCTGCCGCTTGCTATCAGATGATTCAAAAAAAAAAAAACTGTGTGTGCGTGTAGAGAAAGAGAGAGAGAGAATAGGCAAAATGTGGTTATTATTGTTAGGTGCCGATGAATTGGTTCCAGCTCATAGCCACCCTATGTACAACAGAATGAAAAACTGCCTGGTCCTATACCATCCTCATAATCGTTGCTATGCGTGAACCCATCATTGCAGCCACTGTGTCAGCCCATCTCATTGAGGGTCTTCCTCTTTTTTGCTGACCCTCTACTTTACCAAACGTGATGTCCTTCTCCAGGGACTGGTGCCTTCTGATAACATGTCTGAAGAATGCAAGACAAGTCTCACCGTCGCTTCTAAGGATCATTCTGGCTGTATTTCTTCCAAGACAGATTTGTTCGTTCTGGCAATCCATGGTGTATTCAGTATTCTTTGCCAATCCCATAATTCAAAGGCATGAATTCTTCAGTCTTCCTTTTTCATTGTCTAGCTTTCCCATGCGTATGAGGCAATTGAAAATACCATGGCTTGGGTCAGGCTTACTTTAGACCTCAAAGTGACAGCTTTGCTTTTTAACACTTTAAAGAGGTCTTTTGCAGCAGATTTGCCAGTGAGAGAGAGAGAATAGGCAAAATGTGGTAGAGTGTTACAGTTGAGAAATCTGGGTGAAGGATATACAGAAGCTCTTTATATTATATTTTTGACTTTTCCATAGGTTTCGAACTATTTCAGAACAAAAAGTTTAAAAACAAAGGTGCTGGACTATATCTTTCTAGTATCTAACAGAAAATGTTTGGTTTGTATTGTAAAGGCTTATAAACGGTGGCATATAAAACAAGAGTTAGATGAAATAAATGGAATTAATAGTAAACTCCAGTACAAGAAAACATCTTTATCAGCTCGTCTTCCCCTGAGAAATACTGGGCCAAGCCAAGTCCTCTGCTCAAGTTCCCTGCCCCAGGGAACACAAATCCACACTCTGAGCACCAGGCCAACAGCTCCGACCCAGCAGCAGACACACTGTGGTGCCTCCGTGTTGCTTCATAGAGGTCTTATCTGACCGCAAGGAGCTGGCAGAGAGCCTGCAGAGTGTTGACACTAAGAAATAGATTTCGTGTTTATAGCTGGCATCTACTGAGGGCAAGGGTCCGGTATAGTAGCCAGGGAAAGTCCTTCGTGCATATACAAGGCCACTATGGTCACCTTATTTCCTCTCTCAGGCCTAAGTCACCGTGGACATGCAGATCCAGGCTACAGTAGATCTGGGAATGTCAATCCCTGATGGAAGTGATCCCAGAATGTAGGCTACAGTTTGACTAGCTATCAAGATATTCCCTGCCCCAAGGTAGGTGGTTTCATTTAAGACCAACCAACAGGACTAAAGATGTTCCGGGGGTATGCCTCATTTCAGAACCAAGACTAAGTGAACTCCAGCGTTGTGGTCCCGTGTATCAGCATGATCAGGGCTAATCCTAGATGAGCCCTTCTCCTGAAGGCTCCCCAGAACAGAAAGCACAGCTTGTTATCATGAGTTTTGTGTAGCCCAGTAGCCTGGTTAACTAAAGTCATAGAGAAGCCATAGAGATGGCAGCAATTTTGCAGGTTGGCCAGTGTTTGGAATCCCTTCACTTTTTCATATCCTTTTCAGTATCATTTAGTTCATAATTGACTATCTGTATGGACTGAATTGTGTCCCCCCAAAATATGTGTTGTAAATCCTAACCTCTATGCCTGTGGTTATAATCCCATTTGGGAATGGGTTGTCTTTGTTACGTTAATGAGGCAGGATTAGTATAGGGTGTGTCTTGAGTCAATTTCTTTTGAGATATAAAAAAGATTAAACAAGCAAGAGAGCAAGGAGAGATAGGGGAAAAGAGATGCCAAGCCACGTGAAGATTGCCCAGGAGCAGAAGCTCAAAAGAGACAAGGACCTTCCTCCAGAGCCTCAGAGAGAGAAAGCCTTCCCCTTGAGCCAGCATCCTGACTTTGGACTTCTAGCCTTCTATACTGTGAGGAAAGAAATTTCTGTTTGTTAAAGCCACCCATTTGTGGTATTTCTGTTATAGCAGCACTAGATAACTAAGACGCCATCCTACCTAAACACCTTCTGAGTAATGGAATTCCTATGGTAATCCCAAGCATTCCACTCTGTTTCTAAGGTTTCCATCTACCAAACCCTCTGAATGCCCAGCATAATTCTAGGGGACAGTCTAGACTAAAGTAAACTTCTCAGCCCATGTGGTAGGAAGCCATCAGCAGCTCCACTGGAAACAGACCACCATGTTATCCACAGACAGTGGAGGCCACAGAGCTGGTGACTTAGTTTTGATCATTGTACCATGGTTATATAAGCTGACATTCTAGAAGAAATAAAGGAGAGGAGATATTGGCACCTGATATCAGATCTGCCTGTCTTATGACCAGCCATGTTAAGGCTGCAGTGCCACGGCCAGGCCAGCCAGAATTAGACAACTGCTACTTGGCAGTTGTTTCCAGCAGGACTGATGGTGTTAGATTCCTCTCCAATCAAAGCTAAGGGAAAGGGAGCCCTGACTATTTATGTGTGAGAATCCAGAGATCCTTAAGCAGAATTCTCAGTAAAGGAGTCTTAGTCATGGATTTCCTCCTGCACTGGAAATCAGGAGATCTGGGGTACAGTTTGGCTCTACAGTGAACTGGGTGATCTTGGCCATGTTCTTTAACCTCTTTGGGCCTTACTTTCCTCATTTGTTAAATAAAAGAGATAATCTTTAAAACTGTGTGAGTTTTCTGTGACTTAACCGTAAAAATACAGCAGATATTTCAAATTTCCTCAGTTGTAAAATGGAATTAATCAAACCTGCAGGATTGTTGTGCAAATTAAAAATGCTCTGTATGTTTGAAAAGAGAAAAATCATAACTTCATATGAAGAAACCTAGTAGACACTGTCTTAACCCAGTGCTGAAGGTTAACAACATCTGTAATAAAACTTATAGATATTATGTACCCCCAGATATGCTTTGATGGAAAGGACATATCACATCTGTGGTGTTCTTCGCAAAATTGCATAACCTCAGTCCAATCATGATAAAACATCAAACCAACTCAAATTGATGGACATTCTACAAAATACCTGATAAGTACTCTTCAAAAGTGCCAGGGTCATGAGAGACAGGGACAGACTATGGAACCCTCCCCTTCTTAGGAGACTAAGGAAACCCAACAGTGAAATGCAATGTGGAGTCCTGGGTTGGAGCCTATAAAAGAAGACGACATTGGTACATACGTGCAATAGAATACTACTCAGTAGGAGAAATGAAGTCTTTTAAAATATATATATATATATAGTGTTTTTGTAAGAGTTTATGCAGCAAATTAGGTTCCCATTTAACAATTTCTACACAAATCATTCAGTGACATTGATTACCTTTTTCACGATGTGCCAACATTCTTATTAATTCCATTCTGGTTGGTCGCATGAGTTTTGTTGTTGTTTTTTTTTTTTTTTTCCTTCTAAATTTTATTTTGTTGTTGTTGAGAATATACATAGCAAAACATATACCAGTTCCAAAGTTTCTGCATGTACCATTTAGGGGCATTGATTACATTCTTTGAGTTGTGCAGCCATGCTCACCCTTTTCTGAGCTGTTCCTCCCTCATTAACATAAACTCACTGCCCTCTAAGGTTCCTACCTCATCTTTCAAGTTGCTCTTGTCAATTTGATACCGTATAGATAGTTTTTAAAAGAGCATAATACTCAAGGCAGACCTTTTTAACTAGTTAAGCTAAACTATTGTTTGGTTTAAAGAAGACTTCAGGGGATATTTTTGTTTTTTTTTTTATTTAAAAAAAATTTTTTTTTCCGTACAAAAATTTATACATACGTTGTTATGTGACCCTAATGCTCTCCCCATACTGTGACAGCACACTCCTCCTTTCCACCCCTGATTCCCCATGTCCATTCAACCAGCTCCTAACCCTCTCTGCCTTCTCATCT